AAAACGAAATTCCTCACAATACACCGCCCCCCCAAATCTGGATACTTCACGTTGCCAACTTCTCACTCTCTCCATATACACCTCGGCATTTTCGGGGTTACTTGGGGGTTCCTCTACGGAATCATTAGCGGCATCTTCTACATCAGATGCTATTTGAGAGTCAAACTCTGAGGCGCCTCCATGAAAGTCATTGGGAGTAGAACGGGCCCCATCTAAAGAGCCCTCTGGGGAATTTGCTAAACCAGAGTCTAATTCCACCTCCCCATTTTCAGACAAGCCAGTTTGAGAGCCTCCAGTAGGGGGCATCTCTTTTTGTTTTTGTTTTTTTTTCCTCATTACCTCTTTAGCCCTTTTTAAAATTTTTACAACAACCCGGGCCTGGAACTTTTTGGCAGCCATCTGCTTATCCCCCAAACGCTGTCCCCCCTTTTGTTTACACATAAACTGATGTGTACCCTGGAGGGTGCCCCTTTTACCCAGGCCCCTTTTTGCGACTAGTCATGCCTGCTCAGAGCCACCCTTTTCAGCCCTTATATTTTTCAGCATGGCTCTGAACCAAGCATCATATTTTTCCCATTTCTTTCTAGAATCCCGTTCTTTTAGCCTACCCAAGGATATATCCTCCACCACTTTTTTGAGGAAAGCCTCAAGCCCTTCCCAACTACTAAAATATGGGGGGGCTGGGCCAAGCTTATGGTTCTGGGAGAATGGTTTGTCAGTTTTTGGTTTTTTATTCACAACCCCTAGAGCGCATGCTCCGGGTTTGTGAATGTGGGCATTTTTGCTCACAGTTTCCTCAGGGTTTGGTGTGGTGGTGACCGCTGAGGAACTGGTGTGCTGATTGTGTGATTGCAATACCTTAGTCCATGGTTTTTTAAGCGCAGCCCTTACAGCACATGCTACGGATTTGCGCATATTCCGAACCCCTAGAGTGCGTGCTCTGGGTTGGTGAATGTGTGTGTTTTCGCTCACAGTTTCCTCAGGGCTTGGTGTGGTGCTGGCCACTGAGGAACTGGAGTTGTGGTGGCGTGGTTGTTTTTTACCAGAGTCTTTTGTTTTGTCCTTGGGTTTGACGTATATGAGGTTTGGATCGCCCGGATGTTTCACCTGCGCTCTTGCGCTGTTTTGCGTTGTTAAAGGTCTCAAAGCAGATTTCTGGTTCGTTGGCAGTTCTGGAGGAGATGTCCTTGTATCTCTGACTACAGCATTGTCAGAAAAGTTGCCCAGGCCTATGACAGGGGAAAAACAACATTTTACAAAAACTGAACTTTAGCACCCCTCACCCACACCTATGTATTTACTTAAAATACAAAACCTCATAAAACAGCCAAAACCAATAAGCAAAATGTATTTACAGGGCTTCATCCATCCATCCGTCACTGATGCTGGTGAATTTTCCTTTTCAGAGGTCTCTTTCCTTTTTCTTTTCAGCTTGTTTTCCCTCTGGTCTAAGGATCTCTCATGTATTGACTGTACTGTGGAGCAAACAACAACATTATTATAAAACACATAAAACCCTCTTGTAAACATACATTACACTTACTTCATTAGGTTATTTTTCTATTTAAAAAGTCATAGCTTTACAACAAAATAATCCATTTCAGGCTGTACAACAAACAGGTTTTTAAATACATCTCATTTTGCAAAATAAAAACCAAAACAGCTGTTAAAAACCATTTTGCAAAAAAAACAAAAAAACCCTTGTTAGTTTAAAAGCCACATGGTTTGTTCTAACCCCAGCCATGTGACCAAACCAAGTTTGCAGCCATACACTTTTCAAAAACCCCACATGCATTTAAAAGCCCCATGGTTTGTTCTGACCCCAGCCATGTGCCTTTGGTTTAGTTAGTAGCA